TATAGCAGCAAGATATTTCAACATGAACTTTACTGTTTTAACCTAGTAAACCCAAAGCAAAACAAGATATTCTTATCTCTTACTCATTTATTATCTTGGGAAAATATTTAATAGTTCCATTTTTTTCTGACCCTAGAACCAAAATTAAAGTTATGGGATCTTTAGGTTTTGTTTTGTTTTGATTTTTCACACCGAAATATAAAATTTATGACTTAAAAGTGCTCTGAAATTTAGGTAACAGATCTGATTTACTTCTTAACAGGAAGTTAAAAAGCCTTTCAACATTTTATAGACTTCATGAAAATCTCATATGAAACTTGTCACTGACTCTGTTGAAGGAAGGAATACAAGGGAAACAGACACTGGCTAATTAGACAAACGTATTTAACTTTTCTGGATGTACTGAGATGATTGTTACTTTTCCCCCATATGGTTAATGATGGTTTTTAAATTTAAAGTTATTTGTATAATTGGAGAAAAAAGTTGCAACATAATTTTTTCTGACATAGAATATAACGACTATGGATTTTGCAGTCAAACAGCTCTGGGTTTGAGTTGCTGTATGTTTGCTATTTGTCCTTTAGTGGGTTATGTTATAACCTTTCCTAGCCTCAGTTTCTGTATCTGTAAAATGGGCATGACAACTACTTTCCAGAATTATTGAGAGGATTAAATGTGTTTATGTGAAAGTGCCTGGAGATGTGCTAAACTCAAATTTTAGTTTTATTTTCTTCTTTCACTTCCTATTTTAATCATGTTTAAAAGATAACTTGTGAGGAAAATACTGTTCTGAGGGAATTTTTATAGAAAAATAATTACCGATAAACTGTTGCAGCACAGTGAAATAACTGACCTGGCTACCTTTTAAAATACAGTTTTAACTTTAGAATTCACTGTAATCAGTATTGTAATGTGATATTGCCTTTATTCAGACACTGGTAAGTGCAAACGTCTGTGATCCTCACAGAAGATCTGTGAAGGTGGCAGCACCTGGAGAAGTTGCCTTGTCTAAGGTCACATGGCTGAGAAGGAGGCAGAATGAGAAAGTGAACTCTTGCTGGTTTATTTCTACTTACAGCAGGAGCTTCACATTGTCTCAAAACAATATTGGACTTGGCCGGGCGCGGTGGCTCACGCCTGTAATCCTAGCTCTATGGGAGGCCAAGGTGGGAGGATCGTTTGAGCTCAGGAGTTCGAAACCAACTCTCGTAAGAGCGAGACCCTCGTCTCTACTATAAATAGAAAGAAATTAATTGGCCAACTAATATATATAGAAAAAAATTAACCAGGCATGGTGGTGCATGCCTGTAGTCCCAGCTACTCGGGAGGCTGAGGCAGGAGGATTGCTTGAGCTGAGGAGATTGAGGTTGCTGTGAGCTAGGCTGACGCCACGGCACTCACTCTAGCCTGGGCAACAAAGCGAGACTCTGTCTCAAAAACACACACACACATACAAAAAAACCCCCCAATATTGGACTTAAGACAACAACATGAAATAAGCCTCAATATAAAAAGAGACTTTGGACGTATTTCCTTAAATAAAACCCTTGGATTGGATTCAGGGTTGATATGATCTATACCAAGGTTACTATGTAGGTAATGATGTTATGAGTAGGCACCAAAATGGCAATATAGACGTATTTGTGTTGCATGTGTGTACACAAACACTCACTTGTGCCTTTAAAGCACACTATTAAACATTTAAATAAAGGGGAAAAAATCTTTCCCTGACATACTTCTAAGCCAATTTAGGGGTCATTGAGCAGATGGCATATAATACTAATATGAAATTACCCTGTGTAATAAGAAAATTACAGTACCTAAGTGAAGATAGTAAAGGGAAACCATCCAATGAATTGCTTTAGAATTTCAAAATAAAATGATTTCTTTACAATTAACAGTGGCACCATATCACTTTAGAAAAGTGAGTCTGATAGGGAGAAGGGCAATCAGAGACAAAAGTGAGGCTTTTCTGTGTTTATGTATGCCGACGTTTTGTTCCGGTGATAGAAAAGCTAATGTAATAGTATGGCTTTCAATTGTCCGAAAACATGTTATTATTAAACTATGTGGCAAGACATTTATTAAAACCTAACTTCTCATTGAGTTGTTTAATATAAAATCACAATAGTTGTTTCTAGTCTACATATATTTCCTTTTGCTATTAGGTGTACTTTAAAAGCCTAATTATTTTGAGAACTAGCATGACCAAAGAATAAAAATTTACAAAGTTTGACAACTTTAAATAATCACTAGCATTTCTTAAAGAACAAATTTCACTTACAGTTAGGAAACAATATTTATATTTAAGGTTGAAAAGCCAGGATGTAGAAAAATTTTGCTAATTTGGAAGATGACCTTTAAGTGCACCAAAACCAAATAATTTGTAGGCTATGACATAGGGCACATTCCTACAAAATTTGTGTGAATACTGCTTTAGTGGTTCTTGAAAGACAAACAAAGAAAGCTGGAATGAAATCTTTATTCCCCTCCCAAATAAGACGGAGACTAACAAAGGAGTACAGCAGCACTCTTTGTCAAAGCTTGCCATTAAAACGAGGTCTCTGTAGCACAGTTAATGAGATGTTTCATAGTGGAAAACAATCTGTTTTTAAGAATGTTTAGATCAAAAGTAATTTCTAATCTATGAAATAAAGTCTCTTCAATACCCTTCATTCACTAGTAAAGCTTTTATGTTTGTATTATTTACTTCAATCAGATGTTTTCAATTTTACCTTTTTTCCTTGTACAAATACTTGACATGGTTCATCAATACTGACCAACAGTTTTATTCTTTTTCTTCAGAAAAGAGATTTTTGAGAGAGGGAGAATAAAAAAGAGAGAAACATCTTTGCCTAAATGATTTGCAAGCATCTGTGCTTTAAGCTACTTTTTATGAACACTCCTTAGTAAATGACTCAAGGTAAAAAAGCAGAAAAGCATCCAATGTTAGGAAATTGCAATCCAATACCATGTAATTTAAACCTGCAGTTGCTTCTCTTGGACTAAATGACATACAGATGGGTAGCTTAGTTCTCTCAACTTTGGGAACACAATTGGTCTTTTTGTATGAATGAACATGTATTAACGAAAATATTTTGGACAGAATTGTTTAATTCTAATTGTACAGATTTTAATTATCTATGCCATTGGAAATAATGATTTTAACCAAGATATTTTGTCATTTTAACTTTACAGTTAATGACTTTTTTTGACAAAATTAATGAAAATATAACCCTTCCAACAAATAAATAAATAAAAACAAAATGATACCTTTTAAGAAGCCTATAGTGAATTGAGCAGAAATTCATCTGTCACGGTCAACTGATTATTTAAAAAAGAGCCATTCTGCATTCACACTATTGACATGGATTGTTCTGACAGGACAGACATTTCTCAGGGAGACATTTCTGTGTACCCTTAACATAGCAAAAATCTAAGTAGTAGGTATCTGGATAAAGCTTAGTGTAATATGGGGTCCAAGGAAATGAGAGGTGAATGTGCCATTGGTGATATGCCAGCTGTTCCTGTGGGGTTTTTCAGGCCAGGGAAGGGCCAAGGGACTTTGTGGAAGGTCAGCAGAGGTGCTGTTTGACAACCTGCAGGTCTGCTCCAAGGTGTGCCCTTCTGTTTGGCTCTGGCTTCCTCGTTCTGCCTCCATCTTCTCTTGTGGAGAATCAGCCACTCTATCTTGGTGGCCCTGATTCTGGAAGCTGGTATCTTTTTTCAGTTCCACAATCAGAGTAACTGGTTGGTTAATTTTCTCCTAGTTTAATTTCAGTGATCTCATACTGTGACATTAGGTACCTTGAAAGTAAAAGAAGTAGACAGCATTTCCACTCCTAGATCATATTTTCTTTTTTGATATTTCAAAAGGACTTGAATTTAATAATCAGGAAGCTAGGCAAGCTTTCTTTTAGTAACTTCAAAACATGGTAAGAAGTCTTTACATTTAGGACCATCTGCAAGCTTCTTTCTCACTGTGATGGATGGCAAAGAAAAGCAATTTTACTGCAGTGAGTAATGTCTGCCCTGTCCTGGGGTTATATTTCTTTTCAATCATTTGTGCAGGTAAAATAAAATACTACATATAAACAGGTGTTGTCTGAACATTTTACTGCGGTCTGTATGGGTTGCAATAAAAGCTGCCATTGTTACTAGAATCATATTAAAAATATTTCACCATTCAAGTACACTTAATCAGCGAAGTCTTCCTAGATATACTTTGCAAAAAGAAAATGTAGGTCTTTAAATAAAATCACATTCACTTTTCCTTTTTTATTTGTCTTTCTCCTTTTCTATTCGTCTTACTCTTTCTTTGGAACTTCTCAACTCTGCATTAATGTAAATGCCTTTGGTAGTTTGTTGAAAATTTCTTGCTGCCTGTTTAACATGGTAGGATACAGTCTTTAAAGAGGCATTTATTCGTAAGGACCATACAAAAGAAACTAGTGATGTGTCTGACAGAATCACAGAGAACGGCAATTCCTAGTAATAGAAAAATACATCTTTAGGGCTCAAAAAAAATAGGATAATAGTTAAATCATGGAAATTAAATGACAGTGGTTTCAAGCTATTCTATCAAGTTGCAAAATTATTGGAGAGTTATGGTTTAACTTAATATGCCCATCATCTTATATATGCAGTGTAAATGCTTGTGAATAGACTTACGCTTTTGAATTCATTTGAGAAGAAAGGGGTTTCAGAGTATTGGGAGACATAAAGGATGTATCTTGTAAATGTTTATCACATGCTGGAAACTTTGCCTATAGCACATTGTCACTGCTCCAGTGCTGTCACCTGAATCTTAAGAAACGTTCCTTTTAAACTTAGAGAAATAATCAGCTGCAGTTCAGGTAAGCTAAGCTTTTCTAGTGCATGAGGGACTGGTCTGGTCATTGACAAGTGACTGCAGAAGCTGTGTTGTGGCGGCCAGCCAAAGCAATTATTTAGGATTCAAGCTAAAAAGCCTCCTTCTCCCATATCCTCTCTCTTTCCAGGGTCATGTAGGGATAAAAAGAACTGTAAGGTGGTCTTTTCCCAGCAGGAACTGAGGAAGCGGCTAACACCCCTGCAGTACCATGTCACTCAGGAGAAAGGAACCGAAAGGTAAGGTGAGCTGTAATGAAAAGGCATTAAGCAAGAGCTAGTTTTCTTCTCCCACTGCCTTCCTCCATTGAATCCTCTTCCTTGCCAATTAATTTTAAGAATTCTGCACTTATTTTCTAAAGTCGACAAATTAGTATCCTTGAAAAGGTTGAAAATGGTATTGTTTAGGTTAAGACTAAGTTTTATTTGTTCTTTCCTTCATTTAATGAACACTTCATATCTTATATAAAGTCACAAAGCTTTTGTTAAGGGCCTGTTTTCAGTTTACTACAAAATGTGTGGAAGTAATAGCGATTTAGGTACATTTTTTGGGAAGACATCACAGTAAGCAAAACCATGAGGGACGTGGCGCTATGCCAGGATGCTGAAATTTTGAAGGTGGCCATTGTAAGTATAGACGTTTTGGCTGCAAAAAGAAGGTAGCATAATTTAGTTCCTTTCTACCCCACTCCAATTTCTTTTTGAAGCACATGTGGAGAAAGTATTTATTGGCTCATTTGTGGTTGGAATGTCAAAAATTTTCAATAACTGCCCTCACATGGCTTTGGTCCTTGGAAGTTCGCCCTGAGTCCTGAAAAAAGAGTTTGTTCACTTCCAAGACTGTTTTTAGTGAATAAAGTCTCTCTCAGCTGATTCCAGCTCAAAGGTAAATTGCCAAAGTCCAATGATTTTGTTGTCTAATTTATACCATGGAGCTTGGCATAAGGCCGTAACTTACCTCTGATCCAAATTTATTAATGATGTAACTTCTTGTTTTCATTCATGAACTGAAAGAGCTCTCTGCCACACATGGGATCCTTGTTAATAGGCAGCTCTCTCTTCCTGTCACAGTATCTACTGTTTACTGAATTTACCAAATGTTGAATTTCTGACCAAAGTCCACCCTCACCATACAATGAGTTAGCAGTTGACTCTAGTTTCAGCTCAGGAGAGCTTCTATCTATCCTGTTGTGTACACGACTAGCAAAATGATTTAATGCACACAAACAACCAGAGATTAGGTCATTCTTAAAAATTCTGTTTATAAAAAAATTGGACCTCATAAAGAGGGTGAAAGGATAATAAAAACAAGCTGCAGAGCACATAGACTTTTTGTTGGGCTAGCACAGCTGATTTGTATTAGCTGAATGACCTCCTAGCCTTTAAGATTGTTAACTTAGAAAAATATTCCCTTAAAGCTGCAATATTCCTTTTCAAACCAAAAAATAAGACTCCTTCCACTTGAAGTCTTGGACCCTTCTGCATTTTCTGGTATACACTCTTGGACACTGTAAAGTAGCAGAAATCTTGTGTAGTAATGTTCTTTCTGTGAATCTAAACTACAGGATTTTTTTTTAAAATAGGAAAAATTTTTTCTAAGCATTACATAACTAGATGGCATGATTTTTTTTTTTATTTAACCTGCACTAGTTTGGAGTAGTTATATGCACATTTTATTATATAGATTTGAAATATATTAGTATAGTTCAGATTTCCATATGTTTGGTCTGTTCTCATTTTAGGACAAAAAGCCCTTGAAAGATTTATTAGAGATATATATTTTAAGAAATATTTTCTATAAGAAATAGTGCTCACTTTAATTTTTTAATGGTCTGTTTATTGTTTATCAGTGCCTTTGAAGGAGAATATACACATCACAAAGATCCTGGAATATATAAGTGTGTTGTCTGTGGAACTCCATTGTTCAAGTAAGTATGTTAAAAACCTGTAGGTATGGATATATTGTAACAAACTAGATATTGCTTTTTATTTTAGGATCTTTCCATTACTGAATTTTCTTCTATTTTTTTTCTATTTCTATTTATTCCCACAAAATAAAAGTAATTATTGATTTCATGGCAAATTACCAGTGTGACAAACTGGCTGATTTTGCACTACTTGGATCTTTAAAATAGTCAGTGCTAACTTGTTCATTCCAATAATCAGTGTTTAGCAGAGCTATGAAAGAGATTTTGGCAAGCATAGAAATGTTTATGTATTTGTTGATTTTTTTTAACTTCAAGAGATGGCCCTAAATGTGTTTATTGGACCATAATGAAAAGTTCCTTATGTACATCCTTATGTACATCCTTCAGATTAAATAATATCCACCAAGTAGATTAATTATACTTCTGCAGTGAAGGGAAATACTTGTATTGAAAGTAACAAAATTATGCAATATTAAGTTAATAGTTTTTTCATTTATCCAAATAGTTTACCATAAATCAGGCAGCACATAGACTTTTTGACCATAATAGTTAATTCAGACAGTATATTCTGGGGATTGTGGATCTTACTGAAAAAAGGAGAATCTTTACCAAAATGTATTTATCTAGGTGGAGAAAACTCCTAGAAGTCCTGTACTTCCCATGGGTTGCTGATTTGGAGGAAAAAAGCCTAGAATCCTTAATTGAGAGTAAATGTCATTTATTTAAAACAGAATTACAAAGTTTCTTAGGTGAAATGAATAAATAGGAATCTGATACTTGTAGCATGTAAAACCCACTTAATATCTCTCCATAAATGTTTCTCTTTTAAAACACTAGCATTTACAGATTTTCCAGGAATAGCAGGAAGCAGTAGTTTCCTTGAAAAATTTTTAAAAAGTTTAAAACCTTCTTAAATTGCACAAACCTTATTGCACATTAATATTGGTTGAGAATCTGTTCTGAATTGTTATGTATTTATTCTTCATGTTAAAAAACCGACCTTCAAATTGTCACCCATTTCCTCTCAGAAAACACACGTCCTTATATTTCAACACCTTTAGCTTGTGTCATAATAGTTGATGTAACACTTAAGATAGTTGCTGAGCCATGTTAAACTTAATATCCCAAATGGTAAAAATTGGCCACATCCCTTTGCTTTTTGTTACAGATTCTCCATCTCTTTCCCTATCATGTGATTCATTAAAGTATGGCATCTAAGGAAAACTTACTGTTTTAAATAAGAAACAGAACCACTGCAAATGAAGGATTTAACCCATGTGAGATTTTGAGTCACAAATCCTAAAAGCAAGACTCTTATCCAAACATAGGTACTGGTGGGAGTCAGGTTTCACATTTGATGTTATATTGCCTCTGTTTCCTTTAGCATTCTTGTAAGGAAAGCTTTTGTTTTCTAAATTTTTAGGGAATATGGTTTAATATTTTATTAATAATATTAATAATATATATAATATATATTAATAATAATATTAATAATATAATACCATTATTATATTATTATACTTCATCTTTTTTTTATTGTTTGCTTCTTTTTACTTGGTTTCTTATCCATTTTGGGAAAAAATTCCCTGCTCTTTCCTTCATTGGAGAATGTAGTAGCTTCTTGGTCTAGTGCAGCTGTCTTCATACCGGAGAATGTGTGCGCTGAGAGAGTCCACTAACACTTTCCTGGGGCCACAGGGCATGCATGGGCAGTTTTGAAGGAATCAGTTTTCTGATCCTCAACTTCTGCCTATACATTTTCCTGAAACTGGTGCATCTGAGAGGGTCTGTGGTCTCCCATGTCTTCCTTCCCATCTCTTCCATCACGATCACCTTTCTCCCACTTCACAAAGGACGTCATGCCTTTCATTCAGCCCAAATCCCAACTGTGATTCATTGCCCTGGGTTACAATTTCCAGGGCATCAAGCAAACTGACAGTTCAGGAATGCATTACTTCTAGAGAGACCCTTGAAAGCAAGGCAAAAACGCACATTGGATATTGAAATAATATTTCACTGTGGCAAGGCTCCTGGCACGGCTCAGTCCACCTCCCTGTCTGTCTGCTTATCTCTCTCTCCACCTGCTCCACCTGGCCATCCATTTTCTGCCAGCCTCCTTAAGTGAGAGAGGGGCCATGAGAACCTGTATCAACATGTTTATTCAAATGAAATAAATAGAAGTCTTTTATTTTGGACAAGGAGTAAGTCTGATTTGGTTGATCAATTTGACAGTGCGAACTGGCTTTGCAAATTATTTAATACTTTATACGGTAGACTTCATTCATTAAATGATCTAAATATGTAGCTGTAAGATTTCAAAAGTATACGTTTTGAGGGTGTATGTAATATACAGAACACCAGAAAATTAATATTTTGAAATTATTTAAATTTCTGATAAGAAATTTTAGCTGTGCATTTCAAATATACAAGGAAGTATGTATCAGACAGCATCCAATCAGGATACAGAAACCACACAGTAATTTGAATAGGAAAGTTTAATATGAAGAATTATGAACTGTAACAGAAGATTGTGGTAATGAGGGGTTGGCTAGTAAGAAATAAAGAGAAATTTTAAAGAATACAGGAATAGCAGATATGAGGAGCAGTCATGACCCTTAGGGCTGAAATGAAGAGCCCAAGGAAATCACCCCCGCCTTTTCTCCAGGGCTGAGATCTAGATGTGTTGGAGAGGGCATGGCTGTAATCAGTGGTCCCCAACCTTTTTGGCACCAGGGACCAGTTTCATGGAAGACAGTTTTTCCCCGGTGGGGTGGGGGTGGGGAGGTGGTTGGGGACCGCAGGCTGTAGCTACTGAACAGCAGAGAAGTCATAGTGCTATGGTAGTGCAACTTGCTGGAAATCCAGACTCTGGAACTTTCTAGCAATCTACCTCCTGGAATCTGCTGGAAATTTACCCTCTGGTGTGCTGGCGAAAGCTGTTTGCAGGAAGGTGTCTCAGTGGAGGCGCTCTACTACCAAATCACCTGAGAGGAGTGCTAGGGGAAGCTGCTGGCTGCTAGATGCTGCTCATGACTCCGCTGAAAGCAGCACCTGCGCTAGAGAAATGCTTGTGGGGCAGCAGCTGGGCGTCGAGTGAACGGTGTGTGCTTCAACAGCTGGATGCAGGAGAAGCTGCTCTGCAGGAACTGAGTACTCGAGAAGCTGCTTACACGGAAGTTGTTGGGCGCAGGAGAATCCATTCACACTACAGAAGCCTGGCGCTGGATAAGCCACCCACGCTGCAAGAGCCTGGAAGTGGAGACGCTGTGTGTGCTGCAGGATCCAGAAAGGGAAAGAAGCCACATGCTCTGGAGAAGCCTGTTAAGCAAGCATTCTGGAACCAGAAAGGAAAGACCTTTTTCCCCTGCAGCTTCTCTCGTGCCCGCTACTGGCAAAGCTTAGCATCATGCTAGCTGACAAGAAAATGTTTAAAGGGCCCAGCTTCAGTTTGGCAGAGCAGGCAAGGAAGACGGATTTAGAGGTGAAAGGCAACAACTTGATATCTGGCACAAAATCTGTTTTCTTTTCAAAATTCTTTTAGGGGTTCATGAGCAAAAGTTTGAAAATCACTCACAAGTCTGATGAATTAATGATGTCACTATAAGGGCCCTGTAAATAGTTGGTTTTATGCTTTGAACACAAAGTGTAAGAAGCAGTTGAGGGGTGTATGCAAGTGTGTCTGTAGTAGCTGTTAGTGAAAGGGAGTTAGGGGAGAAAGTTTATGCAGAACAGATTAAATAGAAGTACAGTATGAGAAATAAGAGTGGGAGGGAAATAGATAAGAAAGAAGAAATAAGAAAAGTGCTGAATCTGAAAATATCTAATCATTAGTGGTGTGAAAAATTGTTTCCCTAACTTCTATTAATATTCTGTTATCTTATTCACACTTATATATGTGTGTATGCACATATATGCATAATCCTCTTCATTTACTTGACTAATGTGTGTGTGTTTCACTTCCTTACAAAAAAGGCTATTCAATTATTCTCATTTCATTTTCAAACTTGTACTCTACTCTAAATACATTCCCTCTCTGAACAATATAGTGCTTTCTTACTGCTTACCAAGTACAAGAACCTCATTCACAGTCTTCTTATAAACCAAATGTGTAATTTATTCCATGGTTCACATTTTCTTCACATTCACAAATTTTACCAAGCTAGTTTATTTCTCATATAGTACTACTGACTTTCAGTTAGTAAATTAAATGACAGAAGCAAGAATGTTCTCTCTTTTGGTTACTTGAACTTTTATAATTTCCTAAAGTGAATTTATTGCACATCAGATAAGCCAGAGAAGGCACTGGCAGAATAATTTAATTGAGAAAGTATTTTGACCATTTATATTTTGCTTTGGCTAATATTTTGCTAGGTGTTGTGGAACAAACAAAATAAACTTATGAAATATTTTTTCCTCAAGGTACTTACAGTTTTGTTGGCATAAGTAAAATATAACAAATAATTATAAAATATGACAAAATAATGTTAACATCGATCTGAATGTGCCTGTTTGAAATGCTTTTATGTGTAATAGGAAGGACTATGCCTATCTCAAAGTCATGCAAGGTTTCATGGAGGAGATGAAACCACACTTTACCAGGCAGAGAGAAGGGTTCAGTTTTTCCCAGGTGGAGGATGCCTGGTAGAGAATGCCACATGAGAAGAGGAGTTAGAAATGGGATAAAAAAATGAAATTTTCAAGGAAATACGAGACTGGTCCAATAGGAGCAGGGAGGTGGATTATGTTGGGAGTACTGGGAGATATGGTTAGGGAGGTTTAGCGGACCAGTTAAGGAAGTACTTGGATACCGGAAAAGACATCTAAATTCCTACTGGAAATCCTTTAAGCCTTAGAATCTTTTCCTTCAGGAAAAGAAGCCCTATCTTTTCTGGGGAACTTTGGTGTCCCTCAACTCTGTTCCATTGCACCTTATATACACTTTCATCATTGCAGTTTCTACTTTGTTTTGTAATTATCTGTTTATATACTTATTGCTCTCT